GTATACGGGTGGTATACGGGTGGTATACGGGTGGTATACGGGTGGTAGACGGTTGGTATACGGATGGTATTGTGCTTGTATGTCCAAATACATATCCTTTAAAAATACATAATTTATGTCTATTTGTGTTTTGATTGCTTTGAAAGGAATATGTTTTGTTCAAACATGCAATAACCATTTAGGCTCAGAGAACTTGCACTTTTGGCAATCACTTTTGGTACTCAAAAAGAGACGCAATGGCAAAAAAAGGCATGGCCATGAAGGTCACAAAGACCATTCAGAAAAAGCCAGCAGCAAAGACTTATGGAAATCAGGGCAAGGCTAGCACGTCCAAAGCTAGCAAGAGCAAGAGTCCATCATCCATGAAGGTGATCAAGAAGCCAGCATTTTCCTGGGCAGACTATTCAACACGTGATGACCAAGGCAGAGACATCAAAGAGATTGTGGCCTTGACTTGGGAAGAATATGATGACATGAAGCAACACAACAAAAGCTATCATGAACCGCCCTCCGCGACCTGGAAACAATTCAAGAAGCAGTCTCTCTTCCAGAATGGATGGCGCATGGTGAACAAGAAGTGGGTGTGGAGCTACGATTGGATCCCTCAAGAGGTGCTGGATGAGCCTGGGCTGAGACTCTAGGATCTTAGATTTCAAGCAGCTGCTGCCGCCATGTGTGCTCGAAAAAATATTGAGAGCTGTTCTGCTATATACTGCTTTGCAGCGGTCCCCACCGCTATTTTACATGAGGTGTACTTAGACATGCATTGCCAAAGCAATCTTTGAATATTGTATGCAATGATGTTGTACTTCTTGGATTTTGGAAGACTTTGAAGCCTTGTCAGCTTTGTTACTTTTCATGTTTGCCGGCTCAAACTCTATCACACGCAGAGCAAAAGTGCTATAAGACAATTAGTGCATGTGTACATAAATATTTTTCTTGCTTCCTTTGTAGGCATATATATGTCCTATACTGAAGAGTCTGAAGAGCCGCCATGGAAAGTACTTCGCAAACATCAACGAAGGGAGACCAACAAGAATATCCACAAGGATGAGAAGGCAACCAGCTCTGATGGACTTCTTGACTACTACTCTGCATGGGCACTTGCAGATGAAGAGGAAGAGGCGTTCTACACCTGCTGGGATGAAGCTGAGAAAATGAAATCCCATGAAGACTATGGAGGTGAGGTAGTTGAGTCAGAAAATGATGCACTTGACGACCAAACAATCAGCAAGAAGTTGGCTGAATCTCAGGCAGCTTGGGAGGCTCAAGAGACGCAAGAGCTGACTCCAGAACAATTGTCGCAAACCCTGCTGGACATTGCAGAGCCTTTGGAGGCAGCACCAAAAGACAAGAGTGCTGGAGAAGCGCAGCAAACACTAGACCCCCTTCAGCAAACACATGGCAACACCTCAGCAGAAGGACGCACTCAAGACAGTGACGCAGGCAAGACTTTTTCTACAGCTCCATGGCGGCAAGGCTCCAGTGAAGCTGCATTACCACAAAGCTCCGGAAACTCAGACCAACCAGCACAAGAATGGCAGAGTTCATGGCAGGGTGGAAGCTGGTCGGAGGTTGCAGAGACACAGCATGCATGGCAAGATGGCAGCTCATGGTTGCAAAGTGACGAACACCAAGCATGGCAAGCACAGCAAGATGGCTGGTCGGAACACCATGGTTTGCAAGATGACAGCTCATGGTGGCAGAGTGACGACACAGGCCAAACAGAGGATGATGGCAACTTGAATGGCTATGCTGAAGAGATTGGTGAGAGGCAGCGATCAAAGAGACAACAGTGGTCAGAACAACACAATGGCCACAAACGAAAGAGGGCAGGAAAGAACCTACCTTTTTGGAGGAACTGGTTCGCAGCAACTTTTCTGAAATAGACCTCCATTGCAGGATGGAAAAAAAAGGCGCGTGGTTTCGGGGGGGGTTGGTTTCAGCGGTATTATATTCGCTTTTGCTTTTTCAGCGGTATGCCGCTTTTCCTTTTTCTTTTTTAGCGGTATGCCGCTTTAATTTTTCAGCGGTATGCCGCTTTTGACTTTATATACATTATCTTTGAAAAGATCTTGGCTTACAAAGCCTTGTTTGAGATTTGTTCAAAAAACAATCTATCAGCAAGAACAACATGAAAAGACACATAAATGTTAAACATCAATATATATACATCTACCTTGATACGTGTATAACCAACATCTCCTATATTCTTATTTATGTTCATGGCAATTTCAAAAAAACATATACAACCTACATAGAGATAGCTGTTGGAAATTCTTATCACAAATGTAAATGCTTTACTATATACAAGCCCAATCCAGCTGCTCCCAGCAATGGAAATTCATCATGGTACATGAAAAGGAAGGCGTCCAATTTCCAGGATGACTTTGACAAGTGTGTGGGTATTGCAGGCGTCAGCGACAGCAATCTCAGAAAGATTTTGTCTCGGCTTCACAAGGAAAAGGAACCCAGCTCAAAGAGCAGAACTGTGACAAAGCGCTTTCCTGACCTACACAAATGTCTTCAAGCTCACGATGTTGATGGTGCCACAATATACATTGTGGATCTGCAGAAGTACCTCGACAGAGCATGCATGCAGCCAGCAATGCAATCACTGCTTCGCGAGGTTTCAAGAGATCCTGAGGGTTGTCCAGGTCTTTTATACCTGGACGAAGCAGTTCCAGGGAATGTGATCTCTCCAGATCAGCGTCGTAAATCCTGGTGCGTGTTCTTTGCATGGCTGGATATGGCCAAAAGACGGCATACACTCTTTTGGCTACCCTTGGCCGTGGTCAGGCATGATGTGGCTGCTGAAATTGAAGGTGGCGTGGCTCGCATGTTTTCGGTGATACTGCAGGCTACATTGCCTTTCTTTCGAGGATACATTTGGGGCGATACTTTGATTTACACAACTATGCTTTATTTTCTTGCAGACGAAGCTGCGTTGAAGATGGCAAGTGATGCTAAGGGATCGTCTGGCTTTAAGCCATGCATCAAATGCAACAATTGCGTTGCCCGAGGCAATGCCCTGGATGGTTTTTATTCAATTGAAGAAGATGATTTTTTAAACTTTGTGAATGCCCCAGACCCTGATGTCATTCAGATTCAGCAGCACCTGGCACGATTGTCCGAAGAGTCTACAAAGGCAAGGCTGCGTGAGGCTGAAAAATTGTCAGGCTGGAACCTGAACCGATCTAGCTGGATGTGGTCTCCTGATCTCTGGGCTTTGTTGAAGCCTAGCTGCTTTATTTATGACAGTATGCATGTCATGTGGTCCAACGGAATCTGTAATCAAGAACTGGGCTACTTTTTTTCAGCTGCTTGTAGCAAAGCTGACTTGAAAAGATCCCACTTGGAAGAGTTCATGAAAGCCAACTGGGAGAGATCTATGAACATTGGAAGCGAACTGGCGCCTTCAAGCTTACCATCCTTGGTGAGCTCAAAACTTCTAAAGAGTGATTGGCAAGATTACCGAGGCGATGCTACACAAACATTGATGTTGATGCCATTGATGACCTACTTTGCCACCGCATGTATGGGTGGGCATGAATCGCTTCAAGCTGAGATTGAGTCACTTGTGGCTCTCAATGCAATCGCCCACAAGCTTCTAGCTGCCAAGATAAACCCTCAAAAGGCTCAGGGATTGATTGCTTTGCAACAGCGGCATTTGCAATCCTTCAGAGAAGCCTATGGCCCCAGCTACATCAGGCCAAAACATCATTATGGATTCCACATTGAGGAGCAAGTGGTTTCGCTAGGACTGTTGACAGATTGCTTTCCAACTGAGCGCAAGAACAAGAAGTTCAAAAGCTATTTGGCTCCCATGGTGAAAAGATTGGAAGACTTTGAGCAGTCCATCCTTTTGCGATGGATGGAACAAGACCTCATGGAATTGCAAAACCTGGACTTGACTTCAGGCTTGGAAGGGACATCAGTGCAAGAGGGAGGGTACACTTTCTCTTCGTGTCTACGCCATGGTCTCCTGAAGATAAAGGCTGATAATCTGCTGTTTTTTGAAGAAGCTGATGCCGCTTGCTTGGTTGTGTGTGCTATCAAGCACAAGGAGACGCTCAAAGTGATTGCCCGGTCTTTGTGCTTGGATGAGCATGGCCCCAACAAGTGTTGGTCTACATGGACCATGGAGGATAAATATGTTTCTGTGCCTTTGCCTGAGGCAATGAATGCCACAAGAACATCTTTCCATTCCATTTGTGACCGCAAAGTCGTCATGCTTCGCTGAAGAACATGTATAACTGACGGGCTGGCAACTTTTTTTTGTGGCACGCAGGCTGCATGGATACAAACACGTTTTTGGATTTCATGATGCTGGCAGCATGGATTGGGCAAAGACACTGAGCGGCATACCGCTTTTTCAAAAAATTGTCACAATTTTGTCACATATTTTTGCGCATATCGGTTTTGCACACTGCAATTTTTTAAAAAACAAAAAACATCAAAAAAAACATCCAAAAAAACACTATTTTACTTACACACACACTTACACCAACACTTATAACTTTTGCACACGTAGTTACAAAACTTATCTTAGAAGTTATGGGTAAGATATAAGTAAACCGCTAACTATACTTATAAGTAAAGGAAGCACTATAGTAGTTAATGGGGAGACCTGTGTCCTGTGCTTTGTTTGGGCCCGTGTGGTCGCGAGGGTGCCGAAGTCGCTGATCCGTGGAGCTTGCCGCAAGATCCAGCGAATCCAGCTGACCCGACAGCTGAGGGATCCGGATTCAATGGGTTCATTCACCTTACCGAAAGTTGAAAGGCTACCGGGCACGAAGCGGCCTTGCTTCTTTTTCCCGAATGCGTAGCGAAGGATTCTCGTTTAACTCTTCGGGGTCTGGGGGTAGAGCCTTGTTCGCGACCCGTTGTTTCTATATTCGCAACGGTCCGCGACCGTTCGCAACCGTCCGCGGTAGAGCGCTAAGGCGCTGCCATTGGGGGAAGCTTTTGCAAGTGACTTTTCATGGATGTGTCACGTGTCAGTTTGCGCCGCTATTCCATTGTGATTTGCATGAAAAAGACATGTCGCGCAAGCAACGTGATGCGTTTCGCTGCACAGGCGCAGCGTTTGGTGAGATCTGCAGATTGCTGCGCAGTTCCATTGGGATTAGCGTTTGGAGAGTCGTGTTTTTGGGGTGTTGGATGTGGCCGTGCCATTGGGATTTGCGTTTCAGGGTGTGGCATCGAAGCTCTGTTTTCGTGACAAGTCTCAGCTGAAATGCTGATTTTGGTGGATGGGAGTGTGCTCAGAACGGGTCGAAATCATTCCAAACGTGCGGTGTGGTGCAAATTTTGTTGAAGCTCACATGAGATGACATTGTTACTTTTCGTGGCAGGCGCAGGACTTTGTGCGGGTTTTGAGGTGTGGAAGTGGGATTTTCGTGGCAGGCGCAGGGAATCGTGAGGTTGCGATGTGTGACGGAGGTGACATTTCGTGGCAGGCGCAGTACTTTGTGCGCGTTAGACGTGTGGACGCGGAAAGATTCGTGGCAGGCGCAGGGAATCGGGAGGTTGTGAGTTGTCGCTGTCACATTGGGATTGGCGTTTGAGCGGGTGTCGTTTGGAGGGGCTGGAATCGCGAAACTGCTTGGCAGGGCTGCGTGATGTGTGTGCTCCGATGGGTGTTTCCGCTGGACTTTTGGAGGAAGTCTCGTGCGAAACGTTCGTTTTGCAGACTCTGATATGTGAGTTTTTGAGGAAGTCTCGTATGAAGCGCTCGTTTTGGGGACTTGACGTGACTTTTGGAGGAAGTCTCGTACGAAACGCTTGTTTTAGGGGCAATAGCGCTATCAGTGACGCTTAGCGGAGGTGCATGTAGCGATGGTATAGCGATGGCCGCCACCCAAGTAGCGATGCCCCCACCCTGCAATAGCAATGGCCTCCACGCTATATAGTAGCGATGGCCTCCACTCTAGAAGGATGGCCTTCACCCTAGTATATAGCTAGTAGCGATGGCCTCGACCCTACTAGCGATGGCTCTTCACCCTACCCTGGTAGCGATGGCGTCCGCCCTAATGGCCATGGCTTACATCGTAATAGCGATGGCCTCCAGCCTTTTAGTATAGCGATGGCCCCCACCCCAGCAGCGATGGCCTCCCTAAACCCTAGTAGTCTGCGCAGGCAGTCCGCGTTGCCATGAAGGCAGGTGGGAGGATTTCTTTTGCTGTTGATCGCATCCGGCTGCAAGCGGTTCCTTCCCACTTTGGAAGCTCTTTGATTCTTTGTCTTTTTGAGTGGAACACTGCTCACCCTGCTCACGTTTGATAAGATCCGAACCCCCGCTGCTCACTCCCACGCAACCCCAAACAGTTTTAACCGCGACCCCTCCGCGGTGCAGTTGGGTGAAAACGGGCTAGATGACTGCAGGCGTCTCATACGGCCAGAAGCGAGCCTAGGATCTTCCAAGAGCACACAACCGCAGAACAGATTCCTTGACAACAAGATGCCAAGCAGCTGGGCGCGAGCTTCCCGCGCTGCGGTTCTTCCTTCCCCAGGCCCTCGTTCTTTGCCTTCACCCATGCTTTCGAGTAGACCAATTACAACAGAACATGTTTTACAAGCAAACTGACATTCAGTTCTTTCAGGAGTCCAATTTCACAGACCAAAAAGCTCAACTAACTGGATACAGAAGAAGAAACTGGAACCAGATGGTGGGTTAAGAAGAAAAGCAAAACAAAAGAGATGCGCACGAAACGGAAGCACGCGCGCGCCGCCTGACGGTTTCCTCTCAGTGACACACTGCCGTTGCCAACGGTGTAAGAGATTTCGTGAGCGTTCAAGAGGCTCTTGATTGTTCCGAGCTGCTCTCCGGGCAGCACATCGAGGAACGTCAAGGAAGTATTTGTAGCGCTGGTCGCCATGGACGACAGTTGTTGGCGATAACACAGGCCCAAAAACTCCGAGGTCCAAGCTCGGAAAAACTGATTTGTTCACACTCCTTTGTTCAGACCTACCAACGCCCCGGCATCCGTATCTGTATCCTTTAAGCGGTCTTTTTCTTCATGTCTCCCCGGAAGCTGTCCTTCACCTTGGACAGCGTCTTTTCACGCTCGGACCGACGAAGTGACCTCATCAGCTTGCTCAGCGTTGGCAACTTGCTGCGCCTGGAAAATTAGAATCCGCAGTGGGAATCTGCTTTGAGAGGGTGTTCCATATGGACAGTTAACTAAGTGTCCTACAAGAGTGTCCCACAAGAGTGTCCCGCAAGAGTGTCCCAAATGAGTGTCCCACAGGAGTGTCCCACAAGAGTGTCCCGCAAGAGTGTCCCAAATGAGTGTCCCACAGGAGTGTCCCACAAGAGTGTCCCACAGGAGTGTCCCACAAGAGTGTCCCGCAACAGTGTCCCGCAAGAGTGTCTCACAAGAGTGTCCCTTAAGAGTGTCCCACAAGAGTGTCCCACAGGAGTGTCACACAAGAGAGTCCCGCAACAGTGTCCCGCAAGACTGTCTCACAAGAGTGTCCCACAAGAGTGACCCACAAGAGTGTCCCACAAGAGTGTCCTACAAGAGTGTCATTTGGACATATGTAGCTTCTTGAACGTGTTTGCATTCGGGTTCGTGGGCTCCATCTTGTTTTTTTGCAGAGCTGAGCATCCCTGAAAGCAGCACATGGATGAGTTTGAGGGGAATCATAAGAAAATAGTACAACCCAAAATTTGTATAGAAACAATTTCTTCACCGCATATTGCATCTCATATACAGACTTGTTGGTGCCAAAAAGCATGTTGAGAAAATCTGAAGCAATTACTAAACCCTAAGGATCCGCACCCTCAACAAAACCAGGGTTTGGTTCGGGGCCCCTGTCACCCTTGTGAACGGCAGGGGTTCGACCCCGACCCCCATGGTTCGGGTCCGGACGACCGGATCCTTAATTAGGGAAGAACTGATGTGCATGTTGCATTCAATTGATGGACTGGCACCTTCGAGTCAGACGGCTCTGAGACCTGTTTCGGGAGGTCAAGGCGGATGAAACAGGGACTGCAACAAACAGATGTTCTGTTGCCTTGGGATTGTCCCTCACCACCGCAAAACAGACTCTGAACGGTCGAATGGAAGAGTTGAAGAGTTCTCCCTTCCCCATCTCGACAAGCCATGGAGGTGCTGCAAGGCTCTGAGCCCTGTCGTCGACTTGATCTGAGCCCTCCCACGGCTGGAATGGCCTCCATCAAGTTGTCCTCAGGTACGTGAGGCGTCCATGTTCAAATCTAATTACACAGAAGTTGAAACATCTCTTCAGAATAAGCCAGTTTGCCTACAAGAGACTACAAACCTGACATAGAACTTCCCATGTCAGCCACATGGGACAGAAACACAGCCAGAAGGGGCGGTCTTCAAGTTCCAAGTTGTGTGGTAATTCCACCCCTGCCTTTGCCCCAAGAAGCAAGATGAATCAAGGACCCTCAGTTCGGTGAAGCTCCAAAGATCCCTAAACCTCCAACCACCTGCCTGAGGTTCGATGCTGATGGTGGTGCTCATACCACCGGTCACCGGGTCGGAGATGGGGCGTGACAGGAGCCCAGATCGAACGACCCCATCTGGACGACCGCTTCCCCGACGCCTTGTAGCGCCGGTTCCCATCAGCAATGCCTCGGTTCCCCCCGCGCTGCTGGCGCGGCGAACGAGGCAGGTGGTGCACTTCGGCAGGGTATAGATCTAGGGCTCCAAGATGAATCTAGCAGCAGTTAGAATGCTTCACCGCGGCCACGGGCATCGACCTTCGGCGTACGCAAATTGCAAAATTGTATATATCAGCTCTTTGAATCAACCTTTTTCCTTTCGCAAATACGCTGTTTAGCCCTTGGTTCTTGTTTCATGTCATGCACTTTGAATCAACCAACCAATATATCACAAGGCCATCTGTCGGTGGTGTGAGTGTGACTGCGAGATACACCCAGATCTGTCGGTGGTGTGAGTGTGACTGCGAGATACACCCAGATCATCCATGAAAAAAGAGACAAAAGACCCCTACATTGGCCTGTCAAAACTCTGACCAAACCACCCATCCCCTAGGGATCCAAGTACTTTCTGAGGTTCGGTGTTTAGGGTGGGTTTAGAGGGTCCAGATACCGTACCAGCTATAGGAGGTATGACTGGAGCCCTAGGGATTGGGGGTTCTGGACTGTGGACTCACCTGGGTTTCCCACCCGGTGGGCAGCACCCAATTTGCGGTTCCGCTCAAAGGCACATACGACGCTCCCTGGAACTCACATGGAAGTGGAAAAAG